CCAATTCCCCAATTGATCTAATCGTCATGATCACATCGCCTACACGGGAATACGTCACTCAGTTTCATATTATGGACATGATTCCTTATAACATTCTCTCTTCAAAAAATCTTTGCTTTTCTTGAAAACTCTGCAAAATGCAACAACCATTTTGTTAAAATGGTCTACCACCCACGGAAAGTTACCAATGTTTGTCAAATTTCAGTATGTAATTATATCCTTGAAAGCTGTCCTCAAAAGTTATATCGTCTTGAGAGTTGAATCCTTTGTCAAAATTTGGTAACTATGTACCAAATTAGGGTCCTAATAGACCTTTGACCAAGAGGTTAAATTGATTGGTTCAAAACAACCAAAAGCACACCTCTAAAAAGTATGTAAAGAATTCTTGACCTATACCTAAAATATACGCTCAATGTTAGGTTCTTTTTTGGGCATATTAGTAAGTAAAATTTCATCTTATTTATGACTAATAAAATTTCTCGTAAGTTTGAAACATAGGTTGGGAAAAAACAAATCGATATGTCTATTATTGTACCCCTTGAGGTTACAAGGATGCTTTTATACCCCATTCGTAGTCCATTGACGCCCAGACAAAACACAAAAGCGAGACTGTACAGGTCCGTATTTTCCTCAATGGTCTCGGAATAATCTAACAAAATAAATGATTATTTTTATAGAAAAAGTGCACATACTTTTCACAATTCTTTATTCGCTGGAAGTACTTGAAGCATCGTCCGAATGGTTAATATTAATTATTACAGGTTCAATTGAATATCGATCATATTGTCCAGATCCCACATCTTTGTTTCGATTGTATCTTGAACGTGACGGATGCAACCGTTCCAAATCTACCAGATATAGCTACGTTTAGTGCAGCTAAGTTTTCAGCGTGGGCTCATAGATTCAGTCTACCTGACAATATTTTTACAACACAAAATCCTTTTTTTCTTTCGAACAAGCCGAATACGGGATTTCTAAAAACCACACAGTATAATACAGTATAAACTATTCTCAAATCAAACACCAAATGCTCCTAATGTACACACCCCGATACGTCCATATCTCTCTCTCTCTCTCTCTTTGAGTTAGGCAATTTAAAAAGAGAGAATGATACCTGTCAGGATTTTTTTCTATCACATACACGCAATGCGAAGTGGGATTTTTATATAATTGATACACATCTCTACAGTATATTCAGATAAGAGATAGACCGGCTGTAAACAAAAGGTTCGGGTGATTTTCACGCTAACGCCGCCGTCTCGACGTAAAACAGGAGCCCTCATTGGTCAATTCGCAATTAAATGCCTATGCCGAGCGGCAGAGCAGTCGTATCAAGGCAGAGTCACATTCAGGTTCAGACGTGTTACGTATGTCGTGTGCATCATTGCAATTTGATATTTCTTTGGACGTTTTCATTTGTTATCTTATTAAGTTGTTGAGTTTGTCGTTGTTATTGTTATACCTTGTTATTGATTGTTATTGTTATCAACTGCTTGCGCAAAATGCCCAGTAGTACAGATACTGCCGATGAAGTTGTAAACTCCTGTAGTCCACCTAGGAAACGCTCTAAAAAAAGACACCTGAGTGCAGAAATGAAAGAGGTCATTTTGAATATATATAAGATCGGGCGCGAGGAGAACGAGGCATCAACCATCAAAGAAATTGTTGTGAAGGTTTCTCACAAAGTTGGGGTGTGTCGCGCATCAGTGTTTAATGTGTTAAGACAATACAAAAAAAATCACACCTTTTCTGAGCCAATGACCAGTAAACATCGCAAAAATATTGTTAAATCATTGGATGAAGCTGATAAGCATGCGATTAGGAATGAAATACCTACTATAGATAAAGTACTGCAGGAGGTAAATGGAGATACAACGTTGCCAAATTTCAAACGATCAACTTTCCATGCTTTACTGAAGCATTTAAATTTCAAATGGAAAAAACGGGGTCGTAATAGTTTACTACTGGATAGAGAAGAAATTGTGCTATGGAGGTGGGATTATTTAACAAAAATTGGGAAATATAGAAATCAAAACAGGAAGATTTATTACCTTGATGAAACGTGGGTAAACGCAGGACACACTACAAGTAAAGTATGGGTTGATGATTCTGTAACTTCATCCAGGAGGGCCTTTCTAGATGGACTGTCCACCGGATTAAAAAATCCAGCAGGTAAATACGAGTAATAGACAACAATCGGATGTTTTTCAAACCTTGGGAACAAGGTTCTAAACATTAATTCCAGGGGGCAGATAAAACATATTACAAGTAACAAAACTTTTATAACTTTCGATAAAATGCGTGGATGTTTTATTGTCATTTTCATTTGTTAGAACTTTTTTAAGCCATGTTTTTATGTGTTTTCGATATTTCAATAATTTTTTAATATAATCTTAAAATATGTCGAATATTATAAACTTAAAAAAAAGTTACTAAGTTTTATATTGTGTACCGTTCCTAATATTTCTAATCATTTTAATTCATACTTTAAGCTTTATAAAGTTATAATTTGTTAATATTAATATTTGCGCGTATTTCAGGTTCCTGATCATTCATTTTTTAAAGGTTTATAACTTTAAATTAAATTGTGAAGCGCTGAGTAATCATACGACGTTCAATATTCTTTCTTTCAATATGACTAAATAATCCCAATTATAGCAATCTGATACTCATGTCTCAATGTTTTTTCGCTGAATTTGATGAAAACATTTGAAAAAGGTTCGCTTATTGAAATAAATCTACAGTAGTTAGTACTTCGATTTCCAGGTAAAGGGAAAAGGCTCATTATCTGCCATATTGGCAGTGAGGATGGATTTGTTGTTGACGGTCTGTGGTGCTTTGAGTCTAAGAAAACTGGAGATTACCACGAGGAAATGAATGGCGAATCGTTTGAACAGTGGTTTTCAAAAATTTTACCGAACTTAGAGGAAAACGCAGTAATTGTGTTGGATAATGCGCCTTATCATTCTCGAAGAATGGAGAAGGTCCCAACAACGGCTTCAAGGAAAGTTGATGTTCAAAGTTGGCTCCGCTCGAAAAATATCAACTTTGAAGAAGCAATGCTGAAAGTACAATTATTAAGAATTGTCAAGGATCACAAGGCGGAATATCAAAAATACGTCATTGACGAAATGGCAGCAAGTCAAAATAAAACTGTGCTCTGTTTACCTCCATACCATTGCGAGCTCAATCCCATTGAGCTCATATGGGCAGAGGTTAAAAATTATATAGCTAAGCACAATACAACTTTTAAATTTTGTGACCTCAAAGGACTTTTCAAAGAAGCACTAGAATTAATAACAGCGCAAAAATGGGAAAACTGTATTAAGCACGTGAAAGACAAAGTTGAAAAGAGAATGTGGGAACTGGACAATATTTTAGAGGAACAAGTCGAGCCATTCATTATTGACGTTGGTGCTTCAGGCAGTAGCGATGATGAAAGCTCATCAAGCTCATCTTTCCAATAAAAGATGTCGTTCATCAAATTCGGTAAGTTATAAGTAATTATAAAGCTACTGTATTTTTTAATTAATTATTGACATTTTTGAACCCATTTTTGCAAAACCTATTCAAGAATCTAATTTCTGACAATGTTCAACCATGCACATTTTTTTACGTTTTGAACGTTTTAATTTGGTTACATATTTACCTAGAAATCAAAAAATATACTAATCAATAGTCTAAAAGCAATTTTAAGAGATATACGATTATTTTTAATTTAGGCTAATTTAAACGCCATTTTGAGATTATATTCGACTGTATTTCACCAAACATCAGGCGGCATCCGAAGCTGGAAATCGAAGCGAAAATTTTGAAACCCTTATGTATATTTACATCATTATATATTTCTTATCCCACCCCCACATGATCCTATATTCATCACCAATCGTATACACATCGAATTGTGCTAATTTACTACAAAGTTACGCAAAGCAGCATCTACTATCTAAAATATGTACTGCGTGACTCTTAATACGTCCCTGCCGAATGTTACAGCGTTCGATGATCACGTGGTCTTGTTTATGTCCGGTCTATCTCTTATCTGAATATACTGTACAGCTACAGCAATCTAATAAATACAGCCTACTTACATCAATCTGAAAAATTATTTAATGTCAAATTGTTTGTCCAAAAATAAAAACCAAGATCTAGTTTCACCTTTATTTGGAATTCGGCCTTGGTAATTATTAGGTCTGGAATAGGGTAATAAACTCAATTATAAAGTTAAAAATGCATGCTATTCATCTCTACAGGTGGAAATTCTGAAAACGGCCATATTTGATATATTCTATTTTTAATTTTAAAACATGAACATTAACTAATCACAATAATTTGCATGTAATTAACAACTTCACGCCTTAAAACAAAGCGTTCCTATAATTTGAGGTTATGTTGTTATCAAAGTGTCTCGTTGAAATTGTTAACAAAATTCGTTAATTTTGCTTATTCCTAAGGCCCGTTCTTTTTGAGTATTGGGTCAGATTTGACCAACAAATTTCCTGCGTAAATTTCGAAATTATTCTGTTATAATTATTACCACAAATGGAAACCATTTCTTTAACGTACTTGCTTATAGACAAGAGTGCATCACCAACTAATCTTATTTTTAACCAATAGGTTACCAACTGTATGTATCTTTATTGTTAAATTTAGGTTATACTGATGTAATTTGATAGGGCAAAATAACTGCGATTTTACCGCAAGTTGATCTGAATAGTTGTTTACATCCTTCGACCCATTACCATTACCCCTAAATGCCTCATCGACCTAATATTGACGTCTAAATTACGTTGGTTTTAGTCGCCGAAATAACTTAATTATAACTTAAAATGTTTGTATGGGGTGAAGGCTATGTGATCATGAAGATCAGACTTGCTTCTCTGCGATTGAAAAACAAGGACTAAGTAAAACCAATCGAACTCTTCGCTGACTGTTGCATAAGCAGCAGGCACATATTTAATTCATTGGTAAGGTCATTAGTGCATGTATCAGATACTCACAAACATGGAAGCAGTCGACCAGGGTTGTCGCGTCGATCAGATAACCGTCACACAGTCTGCAGGTTATCACAGAGTTCAGATCCTTCACGAGGATACGATTTCTACTGCAGTTCGCCATTGTTTGACGCATCTCTTTTCACGCTGTCAATCTAGAACAAAAAGAAATATTTGTTGAAAATACATTAAAAACAAAGTAACAATTACCATGCATTGTAAATCGTTAACACAATTATATTATTCACGTGGATCCAGTACGCCTGTTTCACGCAATATATAGTCTAATCGTATATATAGTATTGATCTTAGCAAGTGTATATGCAAAATAGAAAATTAATAAAAAATATTCAAGGAATACGAGTTATTAAATTAAAAAATTGCCATAGATGTACACTGTCGTCGTTCATTTACTGCTTTTTTACATTTTGACAACAATACACATTACAAAATACACTGCCACGCAAAATTAACCGGACAAACAAAATTTTGTTCAAATTAAATTTGAAATAACTTTTTAACCTTTGCAGCTTGCGCTACTTGTTCCATTTTCTTCAAAACAGAAATACATATTACACTGTCGTGTACACGTTAAATCTGCACGAACCCCTAAATACGTGGTTATGTTGAATGTACCATCAAAGATGGTGCGACTAATTGTACACTGAAATTAAAACAAAAAACTGCAACTGCAATTGTATGTATGAATATTGAAACTGTTGAACAGTTTCGGACCAGTGGGGTTAAAATATCGTTGAGGAACTGGAAAGAAGAGTATGAATGTGAACAAAAATTCTAGTGAAAAGGCTTTTTCATGTAAGGGTTTGGAAGTGCAAGTTTGCAAATATAGGATAAACTATAAGCACACAGTAGGTGATATAATCACATATGGATTACAAAAGTTGCAGTAAATATGGAAAAACCTTCAGCTAATCTGAAAAAATAGATTTTACTCAAGACATCAAGCATTTTTAAACATTTTGGCTCAGTTTTACATAATTTCATAATATTTAATAAACTGAAAAGATTTCGATGGCAAGCTGACACTTCATTTTTTACAGTGTTTTGTTTTGAATACTTTGACGCTATTTGCTGCCAAAAATTTGACGGAGAGATCTTGAGGCTGATTGGGTATATTTAACGGACTGTTTGGTGCTCGTACCCTATTGGTGCAGAATAATGGTTTGTTAAATTGTGAAATCCACCCTTAATCGAATATTAATTTTACTGTAATTTTAAAAGAAAGAAAACACCCAAATTTAGGCAAAAACCTTTTTTGGAGATGTGTACCGATATGCTTTGGGATCATGCTTCTATAAAGCGTGTCCAAAATTCACTGGTATTGAATAGAAACTGTAGTTTTTCTTGATAATAAATAACAAGGCTGCATGATGCTTTTATCAGCTTAAAGACACTTTATTAATCCGATTTTTGAACTGCCTCAGGGTAATAGAACCTCTTGTACATTGTTGCGGCGGCATCATGAAGGAGAGTTCTGAGGAGCAAAGCCCGTTGGTGTAGCGGTAGAAGAGAGCTAGATCGCCGAAATCTGAGCGAAGTAATCTTTGTTTTAATGAAGTGTGAGTGATAGCCCCTCGGAAAAATCCTATACCTAGACCATTGATTCCCAAAGTGGTCTATATCGACACCTAGGGGTCTATGACAACCTGCAAGGGGTCTACGTCAGCGAAAAAAAATTTGGGGTTCCATGAAATGAATATGGGGGTCCATGATAGTGGATCTCAACACATACACTGATAGTACCTATTTACTTACATCATAATATCTTATATCAAAACATATACATTATTTATAAAAGTACATATGGAGTAAAAAATTTATTATATATGTTTATAAAATTGTGTAAGTTGTAGGATGTTGGTATTCGCTTTGTGGTCGCAATACATTTTGAACTTGTAAAAACCTGAGAGTCGCAGTCTCAGAGCTTCGCTACCTTGCACTGACTTGTTCAATTCGTCACTCTATAAATACGAATGTGGGACAAATACGTTTATTCGTTTCCTGAATCTTGAAACGGAAAGTGCTAAGAAAATATTTTAAAAAATATAAACAGATAGTATATCACACAAATTATAGTGAGTCAGTGTTATTTTGTTTGAGAGTGCTGGAGAAAAGTAAGTATATTATTTTTTATTAAATTTTAGTTTTGTACTCGTAGTTAGCAAAGATAGATAAATTACGCCAATTATGACTTTAGTTATTAGTAGTTAAATATTCAATGATGCAAAATTACAAGAGTACTCCTCAATAGTTTCTTTTTGAAAGTTTGAAAGTTTTAGCAATCGGTAATATAATTACAGTGCAATCTCCGTAATTCGAGCTAATTGTTGCAAGAAGATGTTCGAATTATGGAATGTTTTCGGAAAAATCAAAAAATATTTTAATGTACACCTGCTGGATTTTCTGTCTTATTTAAATAATTTAATTTTGCCCACAGATGACTGATGCCATGTCCGAATCTAAAATGAAGTGTAGACAGTACAGTGTTGATTATTTGAAATTTAGCTTCATTCCATCATTGCCGGACAAACAATCGCCTATGTGCCTTTTATGCAACAAAGTTTTGGGCAATGACGCTATGAAACCATCTAAACTGCAAGATCATCTGAGAAGATGCCACCCTGATAAAACAGAGAAAGATTTGAAATACTTTCAAACACTCAAAGATAAATTTCAGAAGAGACCTACACTGGACAGAATGTTCGCTTCGACGTCACAAAGAAATGATGATGGTTTGCGGGTTACTTATAGCAAAATCCAAAAAACCGCATACTATCGGAGAGAAGTTAATTTTGCCAGCCGTTGAAGAGATTTTAAAAACTGTTTTACACAAACCTGCATCTGATCTCATTAAAAGAATTCCCTTAAGCAACAATACTGTTGAAAGACGTATTGATGGAATGAGTTCTGATAATGAAAGCTTCTTATGTAATTATTTGCAAACGACCCATTTCTCTATATAACTGGACGAGTCAACTCTACCTGATAATGCAGCATTATTATCGGCATATGTTCGTTTTATTATGAATCAAGAAATCTACGAAGAACTGCTCTTCGCAAGAACTTTGATAACCGACACTAAAGGTGAATCAATATTTGATGTTTTGAAGGATTACTTCATTGAAAAAGCAATTCCTTTATCAAATATAATATCAGTAGCTACAGATGGAGCACGTGCCATGGTTGGACGTTATCGTGGATTTATAAGCTATTTAAAACAAAATGTGTCAGGGGTGTTAGCAATACATTGCGTCATCCATCGACAACACTTAGTTGCTAAAAAATTGAGTGTTAGATTGCATGAATCACTTCATTTACTCATTTGCGCAGTTGTGTGAAGAAAATGACGAACACTTGCATCAATTACTGCTTCACACTGAAGTACGCTGGCTGTCGAAAGGCTTATGTTTGACGAGATTTTTTGCACTTTTTGAGACTATTTTAGAATTTCTGGATACTAAAGGTAAAATTTTAAAAGAAAATTTAATGAAGAGGAAAACAGACATCGCCTATTTAACAGATTTGTTTACAAAATTTAATATGGTTAATTTGCAATTACAAGGCGACAGTTTAAATTTGATTAAAACAAAGTCCATCTTATCAGCGTTTCTTGCCAGAGTTAAACTAATGAAGCAAAATATTGGACGGGGCGAATTTTCTCAGTTCCCGAATTTGTCACAGACAAGCTGCCAAGAAGACGACGTTTCAACTTCCGTTCAACATTTAAATGCCCTCTATTCAGATTTTGAATCTAGGTTTGAGGATATTTTGACTATGGTAATACCACCGTGAATAATTAATCTATATGGTGACATAGAAGAAACGAATGTCATAATACAAGAGGAACTGACTGAAGTTAGAAATTTACAGGAAATCAATATCAGGTAAGTAAGGGGTCTACCCAACACGGAAAAACATGGCAAGGGGTCTACGACACAAAGTTTTTGGAACTCTGACCTAGACGCTAACGCGAGAAATCTGTGACCACCTCTCTAGCTATTGGAGTAAACCGAACTATCGTATATCTGTATCGCCGTTGGTGTTCTCTCACACGAAACCGCATCAGCATCTCGACGGGTAGCCCGAGGGCAATTTATGGTTATGGGCCGAGATGACGCTCGATCAACGAGGCACGACGTTACGAACAAGGAATAGAAGCAGAAGAAGATGAAGAAAAGGAATAAGAAGAAGCATACAAAACAGCCGGTAGAGCGTGTATGCAGTGTGACCGGCGTGGCGTTGGAGTCCACGTTCAGGCCGCAGGGGTCAGTAGGAAGTGGGCGTCAAGTTGGGAGGGGCCGCTCGTTGACGATCGGACCGTGAGCTGAGGTGGCCAAGCTACTTGCTCTTCGGTCGGCTGTATCGTTTTGTGCCTGAGGCCTTTTTTCATTAGCAACACTCATCACGGGTGTGAATAATTATATGAAAACACACACGCCTGGTTATTGGTATCCACATAACAATGACGATAATCTAGAGGTCTGTTCATATTGTGTCCGTCAATACAACTGTAAATTATTTTCAACTTGTATGATGTATAGATAGATATCTATTGATCACATTTTAGTAAAATAATACACGTGATAAGTCAAAGAATGTTTGAAATAAAGTGAAATGCATTAAATTTCATCTACTTTATCGATTCGCTTTTGAATTTGTTATTTGTAATTGAAACCAAGGTTTTAGAGAATGGTTAAGTATATCGTTTCTTGTAAACAATAGTTTTGTATAACGTAAAGCTTTTCTTGAGGAATGCTCAAAACAATGTCTGTCAAATATATCTTATAATAAATGTACTTGTTAATATTTCATAGATACAAACACATACAAATGTTGAGTATCTTAGGCGTTTAACGCGATCTTCAACATGCTCTTAATCACAGTTCTTGGCAGATGTCCAGTTTTTCCGATTTTTTCTTTCGCCTCGATATTTCAAACGCGGCGGTATGCGTAGCTCCGTTTGCCGGTGTCGCCAATTTTATTTTTGATACACAAGTACTATTAATGTTTTCACTGTAGTCCCATTAATAGCAAGTTGTTACTGAGACAGAAACACCTTTCATCCAATGATCAAAGAGACGAAAAGACAGATCCGTAGTAGCGAACTATTGAAATTTTTTTATAATGCTAAAAGTTTGATAAAAGGCAGGGTATCTGAGAAATGAACCTAATAGACAGGGTGTCCCAGAAGTCGACGTCAAGCCGAAATCGGGTGATAGGCAAAGTCATAACAGCTATCAGAAAAATATTTAAAAAAATTTTATGTATGTGTTTTGAAAATTATAGGTCTTTGAAAAAATATAGAAATTTCACACCCTCCGGCAGTCTGTCAACTCCTGTTACTACAAACATTAACTTTTTTTGGATTCTATTTTTACAATGTAATGATGAATAATGCATCTTCAAACTGGTGTCTCAACCTTACTGCCAACTTTTCTCGTTCAGGAAAAATTGCCACTTATTTCCCAACCAAGTATTCCAAAGTAAAACTTTGCTCAACTTTAACTGACTGTACTGGAAAAAATGTACTACGAGAGTTTGGCAAGTAACCTTAAAAGTTGGCGCATTTAATAAGGATTCCAAAATGGTATAACACTTAGAAGATTACTCGTTAACTTATGCACAATTTTTATTTGAAGAAAAACTGATGAAAATTTTTCAAAATTTCCTAATTAAACAGCGATTATGAAAACGCACAAGGACCCTTAAGGATAACTGTTTGCACAACAGTGGGCGTCAAAATGCTGCTGATGATGATTTACCTTTACAGCAAATGCTTAAACTGTTTTCCTTCAGCCGCAATACACGCTCGACATCTTCTTAAAAAAGATCGGGTTATTAAACGAGCGAATCCACGGTTATTAACAAACTCAGCTGCTTCCAATAGTCTTTGCCGTAGCTCAGCTACATTTTGAATCGGCTTGAAATACACTTTTTCTTTTACAGTTCCCCAGTAAAAAAATCTATAGGATTCAAATCAGGTGATCGGGCTGGCCACGGTATTGTGCCTGGAAAGTTTTGATCGAGATACTCTCTCACTGAGAGTGCATAGTGCGCTGGGCAGCCATCATGCTGAAACCACATGTCCCTGTAAATACTCAGTGACACGTCCTCCAATAAATTTTCTAAATGATTTTGCAAAAAACCTGAATAAACCTTAGCAGTCAAAGTCTCTGGGAACTCAAACGGACCGATTATTTTACCATTTAAAATTCCTGTCCAATGGTTTATCTTGAAGCGATATTGAGATTTATCTTCTCTCATCAAATGTGGGTTTGCTACGTGCCACTCGTGTAAGTTATGCAGGTTCATGTACCCATCTTTCTTAAATGTGGTCTCATCTGACCATAAAATTTTTTCAAAGAACCGTGGATCTTCCCTGTGTCTTTCTAACATTGTGCGACAAAAAGCAACTCGGGGCTCATAATCCCGGGGCAGAAGAGCTTGAACACGCTGTACGTGGTATGGATGGAGCACGTTTTTTTGCAAGATTCTATGGCTGTACTTTTGGACACACCTGTTTTTAGTTCTATTGCACGCACTGAAGTACTTGGGTCTTCTTCGACAGCTCCTAGCACCACGTCTTCGTAAGGAAGGAAAGATCTTCCCTCACCGTGTGATTGGTTTGGTAATTGGCCCTCTGAGAACAGTAAGCGGTGCACATTTGTGAACATTCGATGATCTGGATGACGAGCTGCATTCGGGTACCTCTCACAGTAAAGTCTCGCTGCAGCACTAGCGTTGCATCTGCATTCCCCATAAATGAGGTGCATGTTAGCATATTCTTGTACGGTGTACACGGACATAGCGGCACTGCACAATCACACTATCAAAGATAGTCTAAGGAAAGCAAATGTTGTTTTGAAGAGCAATTAAACAGTCCAAATCCAAATCACAAGCGATCAACAGTCCAGTTCACGAATCCAAAATTACTAACAGTACGAAATCAACAAGCACGAACATGTAAAGATGCGCAGTAAACGAAGGAGTACTGATCGGTATCAAAGTGTGCAATAGCAAGTAAGTGATGTGCTTCATCCATACCACATACAGCGTGTTCAACCTCTCCTGCCCCGGGATTATGAGCCCCGAGTTGCTTTTTGTCGCACACTGTTAGAAAGACACAGGAAAGAACCACAGTTCTTTCAAAAAATTTTATGGTCGGATGAGACCACATTTAAGAAAGATGGGTACATGAACCTGCATAACTTACACTACTGGCACGTAGCAAACCCACATTTGATGAGAGAAGATAAATCTCAATATCGCTTCAAGATAAACCATTGGACAGGAATTTTAAATGGTAAAATAATCGGTCCGTTTGAGTTCCCAGAGACTTTGACTGCTGAAATTTATTTGAATTTTTTGAAAAATCATGTACAAAATTTATTGGTGGACGTGCCACTGAGTATTTACAGGGACATGTGGTTTCAGCATGATGGCTGCCCAGCGCACTATGCACTCTCAGTGAGAGAGTATCTCGATCAAAACTTTCCAGGCAGATGGATAAGGCGGTCTGGTACAATACAATCCTTTAGATTTTTTTACTGGGGAACTGTAAAAGAAAAAGTGTATTTCAAGCCGATGCCGATTCAAAATGTAGCTGAGCTACGGCAAAGACTATTGGAAGCAGCTGAGTTTGTTAATAACCGTGGATTCGCTCGTTTAATAACCCGATCTTTTTTAAGAAGATGTCGAGCGTGTATTGCGGCTGAAGGAAAACAGTTTGAGCATTTGCTGTAGAGGTAAATCATCATCAGCAGCATTTTGACGCCCACTGTTGTGCAAACAGTTTTCCTTAAAGGTCCTTGTGCGTTTTCATAATCGCTGTTTAATTAGGAAATTTTGAAAAATTTTCATCAGTTTTTTTTTTAAATAAAAATTGTGCATAAGTTAACGAGTAATCTTCTAAGTGTTATACCGTTTTGGAATCGCTATTAAATGCGACAACTTTTAAGGTTACTTGCCAAACTCTCGTAGTACATTTTTTCCAGTACAGCCAGTTAAAGTTGAGCAAAGTTTTACTTTGGAATATTTGGTTGGGAAATAAGTGGCAATTTTTCCTGAACGAGAAAAGTTGGCAGTAAGGTTGAGACACCAGTTTGAAGATGCATTATTCATCATTACACAAAATAAAATCCAAAAAAAGTTAATATTTGTAGTAACATGAGTTGACAGACTGCCGTAGGGTGTGAAATTTCTATATCTGTTTCAAAGACCTATAATTTTCAAAACACATACATACAATTTTTTTAAATATTTTTCTGATAGCTGTTATGGCTTTGCCTATCACCCGGTTTCAATAGAAGTTTGTTCAAAAATATACAAAATAGTAACTGTCTAAGGTACAAACTGTACAGAAAACAGTTTTGTTTTAAATAATCTAAGCCTGTAACCAATTT